TTCGAAGAAATTATCAGCGGTGAAACTCATAAAGGGAAGGAAGATAAAATGGAAACGATCTATAAATTTTTTCCGAAGGATTCCATCGCAGTCACTCGGATTCCGTATGTTCACAATGCCGCTCAATTATTCAGAGATCAAAATGTGTTAGGGGACAGCTCTGCTTGGAAAGCGTTCAAAACCGCGATCGAGAAAATTAAGGAAAGTCCAGAAAAAAAAACTTTTGAAGGAAGTTCTATCGACGGTGAAGCGCTCAGCGACCTCGCCGAGAGGCTGGTTCAAATAATGAACAATAATTCATGGGAATATTTTGGAAACGTGTACGAAACCTGGGAAAGAGATATTTGTAGAAAGAGTTACAAAGAGCACATTGAGCCGGTTTTAAAGCGGAGAACCTCAATCGAAATACAAGACGAGATGATAGAGGCCTTAGATGAATTTAAACTTGTGTGTAACCTACAAGAAAAAATAGAGGATGCGAAGGAAGAGCTCAAGCGTACAGCAAGGGATAAAAGAAAGTTTGAAGAACAGGAAAAACAAAGGAAAGAAGAAAGAAGAATACAAGAAGAGAAGAGAAAAAGAGATGAAAAAAGTTGGTGGGAATATGCAAAGACCGCCTGTCGTTATTTAGGCACATTTATCGCAGGTGCATACATTTTCAGTGATAAAGATCTGAAAGACAACTTAACAACCCTGTCCAGCTCCGAGTTCAACAATATCGGCCTGAGGGGGGTCTGCTGGGAATGGAATGAAAACGCTCAGAAGACCTTCGGACTGACTGGGGAGGACTGCGGAGTGATTGCTCAGGAAGTTAAAGTTCTGTATCCTTGGGCTGTGACAGCAGGAACGGATGGCTATCTACGAGTGCACTATGGCATTTTGTATGAAATGATCAACGTTGCCCACAGCAACAGGAACTTGTAACGTTCAGTTTGAGTTTTCATTGTTGTATTAGTCAATCTAGAATCCACGATCTTGACTTTTTTTACTTGTTTTCAGTTGTGGCACTTATTCAAAACCAAAAGAATTGAAACACCTAATCATGATGGATGTAGATCGGAGGCCAGGACCCCCCAAAAAAGGGTTTCGTAAAGTGATCGAGTGAGAAAAAATTTGATGGTGGATTTTGATAGAAAAATGCAGGCTGATTAATGTTAAGTAGTTTGGATGTGTATTGTTGTATAGGCTCTCTGTAAAGGGACTGTATCTATACGCCACTCCTTTAATTCATGGAAACGAGACACAGTCATTAAACCATTGATATTGCTTACACTTATCGCTTATTATAAAAATCTTCAATTATAGTTACATATTTACAACATGAATTTCAAACGTGCCCAGGTTGTGCAAATCGAGGTCACGTGACCGAGCACCGACTAAAATAGCCTTATAGTGCTGTCATGAGCACATTTATACGGCCTCTGTGGCATAAATGTGTAAAATGTGCATTTGTGTTCTGCTATTTTATATGAAAGGGTTGTACAATCTACAGTTCTGACCAAAGTTTAGGTTATTTAGACCTGTATTACGCGGCACCGTATTAAACGGTCACCCTGGAATAAACGGTCGGTTATCAATATTTTCCCTTCAACTGCTGAAACTTTTACTTCCATCATGGATAATAATCGCATAAAATAGCGTTTTTGTCCTTTTTTTTACATACTTCTGTGGAACCTGTATTAAGCCGTCATACCGCCATTCCTCGCGGGTGACTGCTTAACACAGGTTCGACTGCACTATTTTCGTCCCATTTACGGTTGGACATGAAACAAGGCTCGGTCAGGTTAACAATGTTTACGGCCATTCCTTATGTTTCTAACATATCCTAAGCTCTTAATGACGTAAGGCCAACCATGCTCAGCCAATGCAAAATATGGCCACGTGAACAGGCACGTGACCTCTGAGGAAGCCTCGATCGCTTTTGCGTTATACGTGTATCTATGTTATCCTTCGAAATATTTTATTTTCAACAACATTCTAACTCAGTGAGATGTATGCTAGGACTGAAAAATGCCATATTATTATTGATATTTTTCTTCATTAAGTTACTTAATCATTTATCCGCTCTAAAATTCTTTTGAAATGAAGCTTTTCACAATAAGCACCTGCAGCAGCATGCCTTGTCGAGCCGAAGACGAGCTAGTGGAAAACATCCGCCTGTCAGCGAAACTGCTCCTGTAACAACACAGGACTTGCTCGCACAAAAGGGTGGTTCTGCATGACAGACGATGAGACATTTAAGAACCCCAACGCTCTGACCTGTGTCAGTGACTCAGAAGAAAGTAATGAGGATAGAGTATTGAAGAGAAACTTTACAATAGTTGGTTTTTAAGGCGTCCATGTTTAAAATTTTCGCTTTCTGTCGAGCAACGTACGAGATAAGTTACTTTCATGCTCAACAGGTCAAAATTAGTGATGACATTGTGTCTTTTAGTCTTAATATGTATCTTACTGAGATAACGTGAGGTGCGAGAATTCGTAAAATAACATCTCTACAATGAAACTTTTGTGATGAGCGGTGGCACGAGAACCCCCCTGGTTCCCCAACCATCTATGGCCCACTGGTGATTCAAGTTCCTTCATAGTTCGTCCCTTCGGATTCATAAGGAAAGTGAAACCGCTTAAACTGCATCTTTGACAAGGAATGTGTTTTGCAACGTTTGCAAGGCTTGAAACGTCCCGGAAAGAAAGAAAAACTATCGAAGGTAAAATGAAGCAGACTTTTCCATACTTCAGAACAGTTAATTTCTGAGTCTTTAAAAGGAGACCATAGAGATTAGGAAAATGCAGTGTCATACTTCATTGGTAAAATGTAAATTACCTTATGGCTTCCTCCTAGACCGGATGTGTATTTCATGAATTTTAAAGAGGTGTTTTTCCCTCGTAGTCTCACCGAATAAGTAATTTAGGTTATCGAAATAGTGTATCAAACCCTTTCTTTGAACAGCAGTGAGTGGACCATGATTTGTTCACTGCTTATCGCCTTTGGAGCGCTTCTCTCTGACTCGGGCTTCGTTATAGTAGCCGAAGCACAACAAGCCAAGATCCTTCTGCACTCAGTGAATAACAAAAGTTCGCCGAATGCATTTGAGCTGAACCCTGATGTTTTGGAAGAGATATCACAGATGGAGCGACCGATCCGAGTTATCGCCGCTGTTGGAAATGCTCGAGTTGGAAAATCAACCTTCCTAAACGTATTCAGTTCTATTTTCAGTCTAGAGAGAAAGTCTAACGCAATTGAAGAGGTTTTTGAATCTGGTGCCTCGTTGGATCCTGTCACTCGTGGAGTGTGGGCGCATATAATACGACATCCCGATAAAAATGGAAGCATACTTTTGCTTGATGTGGAAGGTACAGATCTAGGAAATGATAGTGTAACTGATCGCCTTAGTATGTTTACAGCCATGTTGTCTTCCGGACTGAATATTTTTGCACTACAAGTCGTGAAAAATGGAGATATCGACTTCCTTTATCGCATAGTACGCTTGAGCGAGCTTGTCTTCGAAGGTAAAGAAATTCCAAATAATTTCCCCAAACTTCGAATCGTGTTACGAACAAATCTGAACGTCCCCGATGATGACAGCCTTGAAGATTATATCTGTCAAAAAATCTTTCATCCTGACGGGCAGAGTATGGGAAAGGAGAAAATAATCAAGAAATACTTTCCAGAAGATCGTATTTCAGTGAGTCGTATCCCTTCGGTGGATAATTCTGAATTATTCAGAGACATAAAGCGCTTGCAAGAAAGTTCTGCTTGGGAATCGTTCGAAAAGTTGGTGCAGAAGATGAAGGACAGCCCTGTGAAATATTCATCAGGAGGCCCTCCAATTGACGGTGAAGCACTTCGTGTCCTCACCACAAAGCTTGTTGAAGCAATGAATAGTCCTAATGATTCTTGGAAAGATTTCGGAGATGTATATGCCGCCATGGAAACATATATTTGTACAAGAAAATACGAAAAGTATATCAAGCCCGTCTTACTGCAGCAGACCTCGAGAGAAATGGAAGAAAATATGTTTAAAGCTTTACGTAAGTTTGAACAGGAATGCAGTCTACCAAGCGAGATAGAAAAGGCGGAAGAAGAACTTATGAGTACGCTGAAAGAGAAAAGAAAGCGCGAGGAAAACGAAAAAAGGAGACAGGAGGAAGAAAAAAGAAGACAGGAGGAAGAAAAAAGAAGACAGGAGGAAGAAAAGAGAAGACAGGAGGAAGAAAACAAAAGACGAGAAGAAGTGAATAGAAAACAAGAGGAAGAAAGCTGGTGGGAATATGCTAAGAGCGCTGCTAAGTATTTTGCCCCATTCCTCGCGGGCGCATACTTTTTCAGCGACGAAGATCTGAAAGACAATGTAACAACGCTTTCCTGCTCCTATTTCAACGATATCGGCCTGAGAGGGGTCTGCTGGAAATGGAATGAAAACGCTCAGAAGACCTACGGACTGACTGGGGAGGACTGCGGAGTGATAGCGCAGGAAGTTAAAGTTCTGTATCCTTGGGCTGTGGCAGAAGGAACGGATGGCTATTTACGAGTGCACTATGGCATTTTGCATGAAATGATCAACGTTGCTCATAGCAACAGGAACTCGTCTCGTTTATTTTAAGTTTTCATTGTTGTATTAGTCATTGTAGATTCAATGATTTTGACTTTTTTACTTGTTTTCAGTTGTAGCACTTAGTCAAAACCAAGAGAATTGAAACACGTAATCATAGGGCTCATAGAGAACTCCATCAAATCCATCAAGCGCGGAATACTGCTTCGATGAACGTTTTTGTTTCGCGTTTTATCGGCTGAGAACATGTAAATGCTGAATTTTTTCAAATCTGTCGCTTGGAGCCATTTAGCAAAATCTTTCACGTTATCACAAAATTATAAATGCCTGTAACCCCTGTAACTGTTTGAAAATTAAACCAAATATTTTTGTTACTTCTAAAAGGAATGGTGGACATATTATGAATTAAAATCACCATCATTATATAAACCCCACAGTTTCATTGATTACCTGCCCAAAACAGCAGAGTGCATCAGATTCAATCTTCACTTCAGCAGTCATCTTTAGTTCCTGTAGCGGTTCTTTCACGTCCACCTCTAAGCACTTCTGTTTTGCAGGAATCCACATCTTTTTGTGCCCCTGGAGAGATAAAAAAAAGATTTAAAGGATCATTTCATCTCCCTCAGACAAATTTATGAGGCCACCGTAATTAAGGTTCCCATAAGTCATGTTCCTGTCCAAGTTTGCTCGAAATTTGAAGCTTTTAATATATTAATACTGGTGAATTCTCCGTAAGTTGTACAAGTTATGGAAGTTATGGAAGTTTTTATGACAATGAGAATGTTGGAATGATGGGGGGGGG